GCGCAAGATACCTCCAAGAAGGCCCAAGATGGCCCGCCCCATCACGGCCCAAGATGGCCCCAAGACGGCCCAAGCGGTCCCCAAGACGCCCCCAAGACGCCTCAAGAAGGCTCCAGGTCACGCAAGAGGGTCTCGAGAGGCGAAATCAATGATGTTACTAAGGTTTTCCCATGGTTTTCGAATTCTCAACTTCGGGGACTGAAGAGCATCCGAAACGGCGCCAAAGCCCCCAAGACCAACCAAAGAAAGCACAAAAGGACCCCCAGGGCCCCAAGACGACCTCAGACGGCCAAGATAGCATCAAGACAGCCCAAAAGGTCCCAAAAGGACCCAAAAACGGCCCAGAGAGGGCCACCAGGCGGCCTTTGAAGGCGACAGACGGCAAGATCACCCTAAGACAACCCAAGAGAGTCCCACTATGACTGGCACCAGAAGGCCCAAAAAGTTCCAGAAGGCAAGAGACAACTCCCAGACAGCCCCAAGATTTGCTCAAGACGGCCCCAGAGTGCCCTGTCCCAGCGTTCCCCTATGTAGCCGTTCCCCGCCACTCGACATTTCACGATTCACGACACAGGCGCTTCCACCAGGCACGGGGCGGCTGTCACTCGCCGTAGGCGTCTTCGATATCCGCCATGCCCCATTAGCCTGCCGGAGGGGTGAAAGGGGCGCCGAAGTGCACAACAGAGAGAGAGGCTCTGGGGCCACGCGGAAACCTGGGTAAAACCGGGGAACCAACCAGAATCTGCACAACGCCCACCTCCAAGACGGCGAAGAGGGCCCAACATTGTCTCCAAGTCGGCGCAAAAAGGTCCAAGATAGCCTCCAAGATGCACCTTAGACGGTCACGATGGCCCCAACATAACCCGAGACGGTCCAAAACGCTCACTTGGGGGGTCTCTTGGATCGTCGTGGGTCGCATTCGGGGCCCACGCGAGAGGCCCAAGTCTGTGTAAACCCGTTGGGTTTTCAATGATCGTCCTCCCTCCCATTCGTCCCTCCTGCGTCGCTGACGGCTTAACGTTACCTGCGGTTCCACGACGCGCGCCGGATCTTCCACGGCGTACCCAGATTGTTCTGGTGATCTCTGGCTCTGCCCAGAGCCATCCGAGGCTGCATCGGG